TCACTTTTATCGTTTAATCTATACGGTTGTGTTTGGGCGCCTCTGTTAAACCTTTTTGGATCAATATAGGGAATTATACCAAACAAGTCCGATTTTTTAGATGATGCGTCTTCAATTCTTTTTGATAACCCAAAATCAGCCAGTTTAATGCTATGTTGATGAATCAATATATTTTGGGAATGCTGTCATATATAGGGGATACAGGATTAATACTTGTATTTTTTTTTTTAATTAACATGGAAAATAAGGGATGTTAAACATCTTACCAAATCACGATGCACGATTCCTTCATCATGCAAACATGAGACGGCACAGGCCAACTGGTACGCCAAGCTATATTTATCTTCCCAGGTGAGATTGTCAAAATTTTTCTTTAGATATTCTCGGAGTGTGCCCCCGTCGGCGTATTCCATTACGAACAAATATTTTTTGAAGTTATCGTGTTGATTTTCTAATTCAAAAGAAGAATTGATATTAATATTAATATCAATTTAACTCGATAATTTAACGAATCAAGTTACATGTTCGATTTATACCTTGATTTGAAATCGTAATCCCATATAAGCGAATGATGTTGTTATGAAAATCCACTTCACGATGAAGTTCAAGCTAAATTATAATTAAATAGATTAAAAACATGTCATGACTTAATTTTATTTGAAAGTCAAAAGTAGGACGAAAGATTATGTATGCGTTGTAAATTTATTACCTCCCGGACAAGTTCATTAACGGCGTCGTTATCAAGATTAAAAAAAAATGATTTCAATGCAAAATGTCGTTCTGAATTTTTCCAATTTGCACGATAAACTCTTCCGAAAGCACCGGATCCAACCTTTTGCAAGTTACTAAAATGATGGTATTCGTAATATTTAATCTTCTTTTTATCAATAGCTTCTTCAAACCACCGCTCATTGGAGTTGTCTGTACTTTGCATTTTTTGATATTTAAATATCGCATGAGAAAACAGGAAGAATAAAATAAAAAAAAAGGGGGATACTATATATGGATATTGATAATCGAATTAAATGATTATTTGATTAACTTTAATAAGAAAACTTAACAAGTCGATCACTTGTGAAATGAATACCATTTTTCGCTTGTGGATTTATTTGACACAGTGATACAAACATACATTATTTGCTCACATAATAAATTGCTGCGCCAGTGCGGTAATAAATTGTCTACAAAAAAATGACTTTAAAGTGGACAAAATATTTATAATGTTAAATATTATTTTGTTACTAATAACTTTATTTTTATGATTACTTTGAGCCAATCCGAAAAAGTTACGTTGATAAGGATTTGTCACGTAAGTTTTATTTATAATCGACGTTGTTAAACAAAGTAAATTATGTACTGATGCAACAAAATGAGTAGTATTTTTGGAAGAATCTAGTACAGTAATTTAATATCTTTATAAACATAGTTTCCATTTGAATTTCAACTTAACGAAAATCTAATCCGTTCCGCAAGTCGTGATCGTGTGAGCTACGGTCGCTGAATCTCATCCAGAATTTGGAATTTCGTAGGGAAAATGAGAAAGAGGTAAGTGTCGTAAGAGATTGTTACAGGATTTGTCGTCAACAGTCATGAGGTTATCATTTTGTTTTTAATCAATATCTTCTTTTAAGAATTAATGATTCTATTGTCAAAAATTGAGGGTTGAAATTGGAATACTTAGAGCTCTTGACAGTCATGAAAAAAGGTATTTATGTAATACTTAACACTTGAGTTAGAAATTGTGATCATTCGAGTTATTATCTATTATGTGCTCTTTAAAGAGTAAAAAATAATAAGTCAGGAATCGGAAGATAGTGAATTTATTTTAGGAATATTTCAACGGATCTTTGAATTAATAATGTTTTAGAAATCTTTTTTAAAAAGCATTTTAAATGCAGTTGATGTTAATAAACTACTAATATATCAATTATTATAATTTACAAATGAACGAAAGGTTAATAAATTTTTACTCTCATAAATATGTGTTCTTTATTTAAATTTAATACAAGAAAATGAACTCAACAATAATTTTCATTGTTTATTTTACAAAATTATTGTCTACTCGTTACAACTACCTGATGCAGTAAAGTTGGAAGGAATTGGAACTTCATGATTGCCATTATCTCTTTCACGTAGGAAAATTTTATATTTTTTCAGCAGGTTTTTAAATATAAAAGGAAACTCTTGACGGCTGCTTATTTTCGGGAGTATACGGTAGGTTTAAGCTTACATAAGTGAATTACAAGGACAGGATCATAAAAGGTCATGGCCAAGAATAAGTCACCTTTGGAAAATAATAGATATGCTTAAGGAAAGATTAAATAGCCTTCCGCATAAATTTATTGGAAACCCAACCATACGTTTCTTGGGATTAATTGGAAAATTTGACAAAGTGTGCAAATTCCGAACATGTAGATCATAAGTTATATCGTGGACATCAATGAAACTTTGGTCAATTTGATCAAGCATTCGTCTAATACATAAACTCACGTTCGAAGAAGTTAATGAATACCAAAAAATTTCCCATAAAGCATGGTTCATTGCAATATCGTGGATGAACAGGTGATTTAAGAAATTGAAGATTGGGAAGAATTTGATTTTTGACGGACATGTTAGCAATGAAAAATATGTGCGAAATATAAATCTCTTTATGAGGCTGTGCAAGATATTGATTGGTTATTTTCCATACAAAGCTGTAGTTTTTATAGTTGGAGAATGGCTTTCAATTTATACAAAATTATTATGATTGGGTTGCTAATTCACCGATATTTGATAGAAAATACTTTCAAAGAATTTCCAAAGTAGAAAATTTTTTTTTTGCGCTTTTGCACGTGATTTGACAATAAATTGACGCGATTTATTTTTAAAACAATAAATAATAGGAGTTTTACTAAGAAGGTGCAAAGAAATGATCAGCTAGTAGGGCTCTTATGTAAGTGATGAAGCCAGCCTTTTGAAAGTTGCAATTTGGCAGCTAGCTCAAGGCAAACGAATCAAGAATCAAGAGATGTTCTTTAATAATGAGTCAACTCAAGGTTTAATTGATAAAATAAAAAGTTTTAAACTTGTAGCAGAAACGCCAACAATTGCTACTATAAAAATTCATATTTGGATAGATTAATTCGTATAATTACTGAATCTGACAATTCAAAAAATACCGTATTCTAAAAGTACCATGCTTTTCTTGCTGCTACGTTACGTCCTTTAGCGTAAGTTCACGTGTTAAATATTAATATTTTGCGAATTTAACCTTTATTTTTCAGGGAACCTTAGCGTATTGGAAATTTTCACATTCAAATTTCGAGAACATATAGTAGAATATCATCTCGTACATCAATTCGCTATCCGGTTAGGAATGCATTTCAGCAGAACCGACAAATCGATCAGTAACGATGTAGACTTAGAGAGTTTATTAAGTGAAGTTTCATTGGTAGCTAGAAATCGTGCAGAATGGCAAAAAAATATTCTCACAATGGTATTATTGATCGAGTTCTCTGCAAGAGGTTATCATCGTAATCAAAATAATATAGTGATGGTGTTAGTGGTGGTGGTGATGGTGGTGATGGTCCAAGGAGAATTTAAACTTTATGTAAATTCATGCTTTTTTTTTTGTTAACACAATTTAACATAAATCAAATCTCAAATAATGAAAAGATGTATCTCGTTAAATAATATAGTTAATAATTACGAAACAAAATTTCACAATTTAAGAAATCGTTTAATGAAATACTTAAAAATTCATAAATATTTAGAACCAACAATTACAGAGTTTATTAATGCGGTGTGAAGATGATATAGAAATTTTAGAGAAATTTTAAGCAAATTGTTGAAGAATTGATCAATTCATGTACAGTAATGTTAAGTAGAAGAGAAAAACCCCTCAGATAAAAATATTGAAGAGAATATTCAATGACGCTATTCAAATTGAATGAGAGAAAAAAATCTAAATTCTATCGACGCGAATATGTAAAATTGGTTGGAGAAAAAAAAAGACTTCTTTATTTAACACTTATTAAGTCTGATAGTTCGAAAGTTATCCCAAAATAGAGCATTTTTGCAACAATTATTGACACAAGGTCAAAAATGATAATTTTAACCGCCAATTATTTATCCACTCAATGCGAGAAACCCAAACCCACAATCCATTATTCAAAAGAAATTTAGAAAACGTGAATGTAATTGAAAATTAGATAGATGATTATTGGCTATCTTATCGTACATTTTTTGTTTGTCATAAAGGATAAAAATTCTAAAGTTTTCTTCGAATTACTCTCTTGTTATTGGTCATCATTTTTTAATGACTGTGAAAGTAAAATTGGGTTATACCGTTTAATAATTGTTTTTAGGAAAAGCATTATTGTTTATAAATACCACGAAGACGACATTTATTATTAATTGGACAGTAAATTGAAAAAAATATTATGCTTATGTACATGTATATAATACATTTTTTTAAAAAAATAAATAATACTATCTATTAAGGTGTTGGAAATTTATTTAAATGAAGTAGCTCTTTCCAATATTAAACAAATGCTTAATATATTATATAAACCTCTAAAAATTAATAAATATAATACAAATAAAAAAAATTTTTAATATAGGAAATTTTATTTCAAAAGCACATTCAACTTATCTAGTGGCAACTTCCATCCTTGTTCGGCAGATTCCAAGTACCAAAGAATAGCCTGCTCGGTATCTTTGGTAATTCCATCCCACTTTCATACATTAATCCAAGATTATATTTTTTGGATACGATAGTTGGCTTAACCGTAGTATTACTAGTCGAAGTATCATTCTTATAGGAAGGAAATGAGTCAATCATAGTAATATTATAACTATAAATAAATGATGGTTCAATGATTACAACTATTTTGCAGCGGTCATTGACAAATAAAAAAAATTTTAACTTTCAAGTAATTTGCCCGTCAAAAGGAAATCCAAGAATTATAATTCACTGCGTTCATAAAAAACCAACAAAACGTAATTTGAAAATTAGATGGATGGTCATTGATCATTATACAGACTTAGATTTTGTCCTTAAGGATTTTAGTGTTCAATTTGACGTCTTTAAAAATGAATGTAGCACAGAAACCTTTGAGTACAAAGATTATTTAAACTATGAAAATGGTACTTCAAATACTGAAGTTCCTTGTCTTGGAATTTCTGTAATAAACGATAACGAATTTAGTTCTTTATATTACTCTCTTGTCATTGGAACTCATTTTTTCAACGCTCAAAAAAAAAAATAGAATCGGATTGTACGCATTTGCTCATTGTTTAAAGAAGAGTCAAAATGTTAAGCTACCTAAGTTTACTTTTCATACACTCATCATTTCAAATTATCCTGATTATGAATCTTATGGCATATTCCCTTTCGAATCTATAAATTTATTGAAAGCTGTAATAGATATTTTTAAATCTTCAAATAAGTTGAAACCAAAATATGCTAGTCTGTATTTCACAGGAGTAAATAATTGTGGTCCAACTTTTCTAAATCAAAATGCTAGTCGAATTAATTATAAATTGATTAATTGCGTTGGTTGTAATCAAGGTTCTTCTTGTATTTGTGGAAATAAAATATTGAAAGAAAATCTGAAATATACATCATAATTATTTATTCAATTAATCATTTTAAATTATTTCAATATTGTAATAAGTGAATGGTTTATTCTTTTAGACAAAGAAATCTAATATTTACTCGATCACATTGGGTTTTTTATAAGATTTATTTATTATTATATTTAAGTTTAGGATAAGGTCTAAATGTAGCGTCTAAAAAAATTTTTTATTTTACTGTCTTATGATAATAGTATTTATTAAAAACAAATTATGATCTTACGGTAATCCGGAGATTATTCTGAATATAATTAGAATTAAAGGAACCGCTTCACATCGTTTATGAACTTTTATTTGTATCTTAATGATTAAAGTTCTATCATTTTACCGACCAAAATTATGCGAAATGACCTGTATTGAACAAATACATCAATGATAGATTATTTTCACGCTATTTTGTTTCAATGTGAAAATTTGCTGCTTCATTAAGAGTTTTTATTAAATTGCTATCGTTTTTTTCTCACAAATTCACTAGTCATATAAATATAAATACTTTGGATGACGTTACTGGTGTAATAATTTGAAACTTTACAAACATTACGAAATGAAAATTTATTGACCTTCCGGCAGATGAACAAAGTTTTGAGGAGTAAACAAGCATGGTGATCCATGTCGAAATTATGGGTGCAAACGCAAAGAACAAAAATACGTGCAATATTTTTTAAGCATACATATGTGAGATGTATATTTTCACAATAATAGGGTGGGAAGAAATTTATTATTGTTATTGATTATTTGAGGGAAGAATTACCTTTAGTCGTTGCGTCATGTAGCTCAATTTATTGACTGGAATTGTCGTGCTGCTTACGACTTTGAATCACAAATGCGCTTTGCGATTAATTAGAAATTGTGTGTGAAAGAGAGGATTCGAATTATCGCTAAGAAAAATATTCTTTATTCGGACATTGGTTTATTAATTGCAAATGCATCTTTACTTAGGATTGGGATTTTGATATTATAATTGTTAATGTACAGTTTTCCATAAAATTGACAGTTTCGGTTAATCAGTCCTTCGAATTTTATCGCTAAGGTGGCGAGGCCATGGCTCATTATTGGATTATGTTTTTATTTCTTAGCATTTAATAATGTTTAGCTCATTAGCTTTGTCTTGATTAGTATTTTATTTCTATAAAAGAAACCATAGATACACGCGATCCGCTGCCGTCACTGGTGCTATTAATTAAAAAAATGATTTAAAATGTGTGTCTCGAAGAAAATAGTCTAAACACTACTAAAAGTCCTTTTGATTTTATTCGATAAGAATTGTTTAAATACAAGTTTTTATGATATCGTTTGTAATTTACTAATGGATATCAAAACTAATAACTCGTTATTTTGCACACATGCTTTATTTTTATATGCAGGTACAATCAACTAATAGCTTGTACACTAGATCCGTCCAAAAATGAACCATGATTGTTTGAATTGTTGCTCTTTTGAAATGCGCTCCTGTTTCCAAATTTATGAAACTATACGTTTAAATCATCATTAACACCACTCCGCTTGATGATGCAATTCCAACATCTAATTCAGGAACAGAAATAAATTGGTCCGGAAATACGTATTTCTCATGAATGTTAACTATTTGTGCACTGTTATAGGTTTATTAAATTATAAAAATATATAAAAATAGTAAAAAATATAAATAATATAAACTATAACTATCTCTCGTAGTTCTATTAGTAGAACCAAAAGTTCCATGTCTAATGATTAATTTACCACTAAAAAATTCAAATGAACGGTTGATGGTGGTCTATCAAAAGTTTCACTTGGTTGGATGTATTGAAAGTGATTACTAAACACTATTAGTTTTAGTTAAAAAAAATATTTGTCTGTTTATAATTATAGAACGAACCCTCCTTCAATTTGGGGTAAATACTTTTTTTTTTTTTACCAGATGAATTTTTTGTAAAATGTATGGTCGCACCAAAAAAATTCAAGTAACACAGTTTTTAAATTGAACAATAAATTGATTTATAATTTTTTTAAAAAAAAGCGTTAAATTCTTTGCATTTCAAATATATTGAATCAAATTGAGACATAATTAATTTTAATAGCAAACAACTCACATATTCAACTGAAATTGTACAAAATAAGCGCAATTGTAATACTTTACATAAAAATGATTTTGGATCTCAATACGTACGTTTGGAATTTTTTTTTTTTTTAACTATCATGACTTTAAATTTAAAAAATTTCATTGAAAGTTTATTATTTTATAAAAATGTAAATTTATTTATGTCACATTCCATGTTCCAAAATTTTACATATCAAAACGAATAAATCCTAAGTTTTATTAAAAATACATATTTTACGTGTCACAATAAATTTAAAAGAATAGTATGAAGAATAATTATAACGCCAATATAAAACACCAATAAATGTAACGAAAATAAAGTCTTTCGTTCATTCGACTTGTAAAAATTCAGAGGGTTGAATTTCTTTCTTTCGTTTGTTAATTATCAAAGAAAAAAAAAAATTTCTATAATAAATATAATGATATGAAAAAGAATTGATTAAAAAGGTAATGAACGGAGGTTATTGCAAATATTAAATTTTTTTTTTTTTAGGAAAAATTACAATCATTTAAAGAAAAAAAAAATCATTGCGAAATAAACTATAAGATTACTTGCTGTTATCTTTGATGGTGATTTTGTTGTTGGTTCTTGTTTTTGTTTTTGTTTTTGTGGATTTTCCACGACAAAAACGATTTTCAATTTTATGATCTTTGCGGACTTTTTGTCCTGATTATTATTATTGTTCTTTTGCCATTCAGATCTTTCGACCTCCGACATACTTTTCCATAAATTGGTCACTTCGTCAAAATAATCGGCAAATGAAATATCTGTAGGCTTGCTCTTCATCTTTTCCTTGCGGAAGGACATAAACATACTTGGTTCTCTTTTTTTTTTGTTGGTTTTTGGAAGCGTAATAATCTTTAGAGGTATATGGAATAATCTTCAACTCGCTTATTTCGCTCATTATGAAAATGCCTTGATAATGGAAATTATTAAGAGAACGATGAAAATGACGAGTTAACGACAAACGATTAATTATTATTATAAAGGTTTTGTTCGTTGGGTAGGAATTATAGAGGAAAGCAGACAGCCATGTTTCAATTACCTTGACATTTATAATTTCATAATTTTAGCATTTTTGGAAACTTAAATACGGAGACTAATAAATGAAACATCTTGGGAGAATTGAAACAAGTTTTAGAAACTTATATGAAATATTGATTTATCACAGTATACAGTATTTCTTAATAACATATTTAACCCGTTTTTTTATTTTTAATATATCTTTGTACATTCGATAGTATTAAATATGGTATGGTTTGATTTGAAAATTTATATATAGAAAATCTAATATTTTGCAAAAACAAAGCTGAAAAATAAAGAATTGGAAGTCTTACCCACGAAAAGAATTCATTGTGAACAAAAAAGTTATAAACTTCAAATATGATGATGATCTTGTTTCATGGCGGTTAACTTTAAAGTGTGCACCGTCATCTGAAGTAACAAATCAAAAATTTTCCGACCGAATCGTGATCGCGCAAGTGATAGTCTGATCTAATCATTTTTATCCACATCTCCTTAAAAAATAAATAAACCCCCTCGTTTGAAAAAAGAATCACAATAAATAAACTTGTTGGATACCGGTATGTATTATTTATTCTTTAAAACAAAGGTTAAGTATTATCAAGTTGTATTACACGTTACATCTTTTTTGTATTTGTTTATATTGCAATTCATTTAAAGAAAAAAGAAAGATCTTTGCCGGTCCGTAATTCCGATTTATAAACCTAGTTATTTATTTGGATTCTGTCGGAAAATTTTTGATTTGTTACTTTCAGATGACGTGCACACTTTAAAGTTCTAATTCCAACTGCTATGAAACAAATTCTTCATCATATTTGAAGTTTATAGAATGCAATATATTTTTTTTATTCACAATGAATTTTTTCATCGATAGACTTCTAATTCTTATCTCAATATTTTTTAATTTAGCAAACTATTAAATTATATATAAAGAAATTTCCAACCAAACCATACCTTATTTAATACTATCGAATGAAAATTTAAAAAAATATTTTGTTTAAAATCACATTACGTAACACAAGCTCCCATTACATGAGATTTTCCTATCGAATTCTTATTCTATATCACTTCCAATATATTTTTTATTGTTTATGTTTGATCCCCTATCATGAGTTATCCAATAAATTTTATTAAATGTATAATCAAACAGTGAACCTAAATAAGTCTAATCTTAAACTCTTTTAAGCTGCGACTATAATAAAATCAATGGTAATAAACAAGGTTTGTATTGAGCATAATTCCAGAACTCATTGATATTTCCCACCTACCATCATGGCAAGTAAAAAAAGAATATTTTTGATTTGATTAACATTATTTTAATTTGATAAATCAAAAGGATTTGGAATAGGAATTATTCAAACTGACGTCCTTACGCCTAAAACTTCGAGACGAGTTGAGACGTTTCAAGATTCCGTTTTGAGGATCTTCGGGATCCTTTCATCCTTGAACAAAAAAGTCAATTGGTTGTTGGTAAGACAATCATAAAATTCAAACATTTCGTTTTATCTTTTAGTTATATTTTTTTCTAGTAAAAAATTTTTAGGTTTGCAATGAAAACATTTGTACAGATTTAATGTGGTTTAACCGTTATAAATTAATAAATATATACTAAAATAATTAAAAAGCATACGATAAAAAGCTTTTTACTAGAATTTTTTCCATACCAGTTGCTAATAAAATTTATATTATTTTAAAGCTGATTGATAACGTTTCTAATCAAATAATGATAAAATTCTACAGATATTATAATTCAATCTAAGATTACTTTTAAGAAAAATGAATGAATTTTATCATATATGTAATTTCTTGCTGCTTCTTTATTATACAACGGTTTTACAATAGCAATGGATTTGAACTTTTTTGTATCCTTTTCAAATCTATAGCCAATTAGCTCCAAAATAATAAACTTTTATTATAATAATAATTTTTTAAGGAAGACCGGATATTTTTGTCAGCAGTTTGATTCGGTTTTGTTTTAAGAAAAAATTTTGACGTAGGAATTCAATAAAACGCGACAGAAAACAATTAAATTTATTAACCAATCAGAATTTTAGGATAAAATATCACGTGATTTAAATAATTAAAAAAAAAAATAAAAATAAAAATATTCTTTTTACTACAAAATTAATTTATCAGAATCTGTATTAAATTAAGTATTGCTAGCTTTAGATACTGAAAAAAATACTGCAAAGTGGTTTTGAATTGTTAAAAGATTTAATAAAAATTGTAATATATCATAAGCTATAAATTAATTAAACCTGCTAATAAACTTAAAGATTATCTTTATTAATTTATAACTTAGTATAAAAAGAAGATGGCTTTAATTATAAAGTTAAATCTGTATAATTGCTATAGTACAATAAATAGAAATCTTAAAGAAAATAGTATTCTTTAACCAATAAAAATTTAGAATTGTTATAAGTTTTTTCATATTCTTCATATATTTAATGACAAATGAAAACTATACAAAATAAAGAACTGTATATCCTAAAAAATCTATTTGTTTATCTAAAAAAAAATTAAACAAATACTTGATCATTCATATATAAATATTAATACTAATAAATTACTTACTAGTATTAACCCTACGTTTAGTCTATTGAACTTAAAGTAATGATAAATTAATAACAGAAAGTAACGTATGAAAAACTACAAAGTTACTATAGAACAAGCCCTATCATAATCAACTTTAAGTTTATAATTTAGACAAATAAAAATAACTTTAACAATTTGTAAGAATAATAAATGCAATTGACATGTTAAGAGATTTTAATATATGTAGTTTAGAAAGAGATTTTTTATTATAAAAATTGTATTTTTAACAATCCTTATCCTTAGATTCTAAGTCTTTAACTCAAATTATTAAGTTATCATTATTATTTTTGCTTTTTTACAAGAATAATTTCCCATCCTATTTATACAAGATATAAAATATAATTTAACTATAATAATAATATAATAAATAATATAATAAAATTGCAAAATGAATCTGCCCCAATTTAAAGTTAGGGCAGATCACAACTTGAGGCACAACAGATATATATTGATTATATGCTGATACATGTCACCCAGTTTCACACCCTTTTGCGTTTTATATTTACTATATATTCTGGGGACTTAGATTTTTTTACTTATAAAGATCCAATTGTCACATACTTTATGTCACCTCCTTATATTTTTTAATGCTAGCCAAGATCTACAATGCCGGTCAGCATGTACATTAAAGACTGTACACATGGGGTATAGGTTAAGAAATCCCATTTTATATAACCAAAAAGTTTGGATGCTAAATATTCCTTTGGGAACAGAAATATCAATAAGTAACAGTATCCTTACTTATGTAATTATGATTGTAACAGTTGTATTCTTTAGTTAACGTTAAATTCACTTAACTAATGTTGCTTACTCAGGCATGTAGATATTATCTGACAACGTAGAAGTTATTAGGTGGTTAGTTTTCGTTTTTTGTCAAATCTTTGAACCATAGACTATATTATTACAAGCTTTAAGCTGTTTTTTTATAATATTTTATTTTTGTTGATATCCAAAAAAAATTTATTGAATAACGTATCCGCATCAATCTTCCCTTACCTAATTAACTCATTTCATGGCAAATAATTAAATTTTTTATGAAATTTATCGTTTTATGATAATAATAAAGGACAATATATTTTAGAATCTCACTTTGCTCTCGTTAAAAGTTTAGGATTTTGTCAAAGTCGGTAAAATTTTTACGAAAATAAAAAATGATATAACCATTTTATTATTTATGGGAACGTTGCCAATGAAGTCAAGGTTTGTAATGTGATTTTACTGGCATCATCATTATATATCGTTAAGTTTCCTAAAAAAAAAAAAAAAAAAAAAAAAAAGCTCGGTATCTAAAATGTAATGGGCCTTGTCAAAAATATATAAAAAAAGATAATATTATTATGTACAATTTTTGGCGGTGATAATTGAATGACACTATAAAGCTACGAATCCGAGTGTAAACAATCAAACATTGAACAAAACGTAAAAAGAAATCAAATCCATACACTAATGTAAATAAATACATCTGAATTGAATTTGCTTAACGTATAAGAAGAATCAAATATTTCAATATTTAAAACTTAAGAAAAAACTATACTCGTTATTAAGATTCGACACCTTTTGAAAGAAACTGTTGAACATCATCATTTATGAAAGGTTGATTAATGATCTCTTTAATACTATCAAATTTATCAAGTTCATGAAATTTCTCATTCAAATTATCTTTAGTTAAATTATACCCAAATAAGTCCAAATTACGTTCTTTTTCATGATTATCAACCTTTAAACTTACAGAATCTGAACGCAGGATACAGATATGTATGTCTATTTTAGTAGTTGTCTCGATATTTGCTAAAGATTTGTTATTTTCACCAAGTAGAACTTTGGAACTATCCAAACTTGATTCATCATAAATTAATTCAACATTAATAGCTTCATCTTCCCACTTATCAAACTTAATGATACTAAGGGGCTCATAATTGGTCGATGGGTAGTATACATTAATAAGAATGACATTTCCTTTGGATAAAGGAAGCGTTTTGATGCGATAGTTTGATATTCCAACTTTCAATGCGATGGATTCTTCAATACGATCAACTTGAATATTTCTATTATTTGGACTAAAAACCGATAATTTCATAGGATTTCCAATAATCATCCATGAAATGTAACATCTACTGATATCGACCTTTGATTTCTTTAAAGGTTTTATAATTGCAGAAAATCCATTAACATCGAATAACCTAAATCTTACAAAAAAATCTTTTGACTTTAAATATTTTTTTGTAATAATTGACCCAAATACTTCGTAATTTTCATCTTCCAATGATGAATCTAAATTTATTCGCTTATAATGTTGGACGTTGCTTTTATCCAAATCTTTCAAATCATTTATTCCGGTCATTATAATTTTCAAGTTATTACTTAATATACAATCTACTTTCTTTTTTTGTTCTGATTCAAGAATATCGTACAAAGAAATGACCTCGTCATATTCAATAATCTCTAAATCATTATTTGATTTTTGAACACAATTATCAAAATCTTCAATAATATCACCATTTTGCGTTGTGAGATATGAAATATTTAATTTATTTAAATATGGTCGTAAAGATGTTATTGGTAATTTCAAATTTATCTTTTTAAAATCACCAAAAAAATTTGTGGTTGAAATGTTTTTAAGAGATTTCCCCAGGATAATTCTTAACGGGAATACATGCCCATATTCATCAAATACACCTCGTAAAGCAATCAATGGTTTTATTTCATTAAGGGCTTTGTCGATTGCGCTATTAAATTCTTCTGAAGGTTCAATATGATCCCTATTAATTAAAATTTCATATTTTTCGTATTTAACTACTAAATGAATATAATCCATATTTTTAAAATCATCAAGTTTAATAAACGGAAAAGTTCTAGAATTATTGACCGAGAAAATCTTATTAAATATGAAAATTTCCTCCAATTTTGTTGTTGGATTTATTATCTCAAAATAAGATTCGTCTCTTAAATTCACTTCAGGAACTTCCTTAAACTTGATGGCAAATTTCTTACTACTTTCTATTTTATATGATTTATTGATTGCAAGACCTTGAAATAGGTGAAAATTTTTGATCCACTTTGCTAATTTAACATATTTCGTATTTCCAACCCAATTTTCGAAATTTACCTCCTCTCTATAGTTAGCGATTCCAGTATGTTTATCAATCTCTAGGCCTTTTGCTGATATCCCACTTTTTAATTGGGAAGTAGAATTAATATTAATATAAGAAATAATGTCGATTATATTATCTTGATATAATTTCCTCATCCAATTCACCAACTTTTTAAAAGTATCTAACGTTGACCCGTCTGACGTTTCTATTCTTGGGAAAAAATCCAAGTCAAAAGGACTATTATCGAACGGAAATTTATTATTATTTTTAGCTGAATTATATACCCAAACTAAATAAAATTTTAAAATATCCTTTTGTGACGAAGAAGTTAAATTAAAATTTTTGATAAATAACTGTCCACCGGCCAGAAATTTATTTGCGATAAAATGGCCATATAAGTCGTGTAAATTTCTACTTCGCCCGTAAATTGTGAAAATGAGTTTACTGGATCGGCTCTATAAGTGATTTCAACGACCGGGAAATTAATACACAAGTCCGATGACTTTAAATTATCATAAACCTCAACTTTATGATTTTCAAAATCAAGTGAATTCGTAGGACAATCAGGATCGTTTATATTAATATAAACTATAGGTTCTCCTTGATATAAATTTATATCCAAATCTCCAACATCAACAAAAACAGTCTTTTTACTTGATTGTATGCTAGATCCATCTAAAAATAAACCATGATTCAATTTCCACCGTTGTATTATTTGCTGTTCAGTTAATACTTCTATTTATAAGAATCGATTGTTTAGAATATTTAAAGCAATTTTAATATTACACAAATCAATAATATATTAAACTTACCAACTTTCTTTTCTCCATATTCCAAAAGCGAAGCTTCAGACAGTTTTTCCAACCTTTTAATGGCTTTATCGTAACCATTATCAGCAGATTTTTTATACCATATTAAAGCCTTATCAAAATCCTTTGTTGTACCAATACCATCTTCAAAACAAACAGCAACATTATATTGCGCAACATTATTTTTCATAGTTGCGGCCTTTAAATATAAATCTAAAGCTGCCTCTTTATCGATGGAAGTTCCAATACCATTTAAGTAACAATAACCCAACATATTTATACCAAAAGAATATTCTCCTTTTGCACTTAGGCTAAAATAATAAAATGCTATATCAGAATCTTTTTTAACGTGAATTCCGAGCAAATAAAAATTTCCAATATGATATTGTGCAATAGAATGACCATTATTCGCTGCATCATTATAATAAAAAAACGCCATCCTTTCATTTTTTTTAATTCCAATACCTTTTTCATAACAAAGCCCTAATGCAAATTTACTCGCTATACATTGACCTTTCTTGGCGCTCTCCTCATACGTTGTAATTGCAGACCGTTTATTAATAGTAGTACCTAATCCAAATTCATAACAAATTCCTATGTAATATTGAGAAATAGGATGCTTTCTTGATGAAGATTGATCAAAATAATTAAATGCTTCACTAACGTTCAATTGTTTGCCAAATCCTGAAAAATTCAAATATCCTTTTAAAAATACAAGATCTAAATTTGTCATTTCATCCTTACACAACCAGTCATAAATTTCTTCAATGGTGAATTTATGCAATGATAAATAATCTCTCAGAATTGAATGACGTAGGTCACGAGATTTTCCTTCATTTATTGCCTTTACCAATAAAGTTATTAATCCTGTTACGATAGTTTTTATGTCTACTTTATTTAAATTATAATTGATGGGGGCAGAAACGAACTTTAATTCTTTTGTATTCATATTATTTGAAGTAAATTTTGACTTATTTAAATTATTATAGATATCTTTAGAGGTGAAATTTAATTCCACTGTGTTCATCTTATTTGACATATGCCTGGAAACGAATTTTGTGTTAATCTTATTTGTTATATCCTCAGAAATTAATTTTAATTCTTTTGTATTCAACTGATCAAAATTTTGAATAATCCGAGAAAGTTCCTCATATGATAAATCATTTTGAGACAATGATGAATTAATTTGTTCATTTTTATCTATTTGAACATGAATTGTATTTGATTTTGCAATAATTATTTCTAACTTATCAACTACTTTATTCATAGTTGCACATATTCTTCGGGTGTATCATGAATGATTCTTTCTCTAAGTCCTTGTGAAATCTCAATAGCTAAATCTATGTCGTATTCTTCACCTTTAACATAAAATGGAGGACGGCCACTTGATATCTCCCACAAGAGTACACCAACACTATAAACGTCGCTCTTTTCATTAATTTTATATGGAGTTATATTACGTTGAAAAATTTTCGGATCAATGTAGGGAATTACTCCAAAAGCTTTTGACTTATAAGATGATGATGCTTCAATTCTTGTCGATAAACCAAAATCAGACAATTTAATTCTACCTTGACGGATTAATATATTTCCGGAATGCTAAATAAAAAAACTATACATTAATTCTTAACATTTTTCATAATAAATAAATATATATTATGTAAGATTACCGAATCACGATGTAAAATTCCTTTTTCATGTAAACACGATACAGCACTAGCCAATTGATATGCCAATCTGTATCTATCATTCCAATCAAGTTTATCATAATTGTTCTTCAAATAATGTCTGAGGTCACCGCCATCAGCATATTCCATTACTAACAAATATTTTTCATTTTGATTTTGATTTCCTTTTTTTTTTTTTTACAAAAAAAAAATATAATATAAATGAGTTAAAAATACAATATCAATATTAAATCTATAATTAACCTCATTATTTTAAGATTTATACCTTGGTTGTGTGATGTAATCCCAAAAAAGCGGATGATATTATCATGAAAATCAACTTCGCGTTGTAGTTCAAGCTAAATGTAAATTTTAGCTTGTTATAAAAATAATTTTGTACTAAATGAACCGAAATACATATTTTATTTGTAATTACTTCATGAACTAGTTCTTTAGCAGTGACATTGTTAAAGTCATGAAACGATTTTAATGCTAAAAATTGTTTTGCCGTTTTCCAATTTGCGCGATAAACTTTTGAGAAACCTCCAGAACCAATTTCTTGAAAATTATTAAAATGTTCATATTCATAATATTTTATATGATGTTTAGAAATGGCTTCTTGTATCCAATTAATCGATTCATTTGAATATTCGATCTTTTGCATTTTTGATATGATGGCGTAAGAGAGAAGGATCTTCCTATTGAAAATTACAACCATATTTTATTATGATCGATTGTTACACAATGCAATGTTCAAAAGCATAAAATAAATTTTTTTTTTCTCCCTAAATGGAAGTTATTGAATTTTATTATTTTTTAAAATATTAAAAATGAGTCTAAACATTGGATACTTCTTTAATAATGTAGACATATCCGTTCAAATAGATGACCCGCCATCACAACAACCTACGTTAGTCACATTAAATCGAAAAGATAATTTATCAAATATTCGTAAAGTACTCGAACAAAAAAATGAAATGAACGATACATTATCATTTGCGCAAAAAAAAAAACAATGTATTGGCTAAAATAATAAGAAAAGATGAAGAAGATTGGGTTTTAAATAAAATTTTAGATCATGATACTCTATACTTGACGAAAAATTCAAACCCTGATTGGAAATTTTTAAACGAGTTGCGTAAATTAGATTATGGACGTATTATAAATTTTAATGGAATCAAAACAGCTAAAAGAAGAGCATTTGAAATGAAGGAATGTAAAATTACTGAATTTGGAGCAGAGGGATGTCAAAAAGGAAACATTGAATTTAACTCAAATGAAGATTGGATGATGAAAACAAATTTAATTTTTACCAGTAATATTAATGTAGAAAATTTGGTAAAGTTTGGAATAACGGTTGGAAAATCACAAAATAAAAAGTTGAAATTTGAAACCAATTCAACTTATCGTTACACGGAATATGGAAAAGCGTCCTTAGAATTTAGTAAGTATTTGGAACCAACAAGGGAATTCATTGATGCGGTGAAAGATGCTATAAACTCTGGAGATGCCGAGGAATTTAAGCAGATTACTGAGGAATTTGGTCAATTTATTCCAAATGAAGTTATTTTAGGCGGGAGGGCCTATTATGAGGGACATAAAGTTTTAAAGGAACAAACTGAAGAAAATGCTATTAATGGAACTATAGATGTAAATGCTGGGCCTTCAGAAAACAAAATAGGAAATGAAGTCATGGTTTCCAATGGAATGACCAAATACCGTCAACAAGAGTGTGCAAAATTGATTGGGGGGCCGCAACCTGATAATCTTGAAAATTTTGATGAGGCAGCTTGGGCTAAATCTTTAAAAGATTTTAGACAATGGGATTGCATTGAATTTAAAGATCCGATTAGCATTTTTCAACTTTTAGATAAAACTTTACATAATCAAGTAATTAAATTTTTAGGAAAAAGAATTCATTATTCAAAAATTGAGGACTATAGTTGTACATTTGAGAAATTGGGAGAACCTTTTATGTATGAATTAAGTAATATACCATCACATATTTCAAAAATTATGCAAAACCAAGATGCTGATTGTGACCTTTTTGCAACAGTTATTGATGCAGAAGGTGTGAAAAAGGATACTTTTAACTGTCAAATCCTTTCTCCCACGAAAGGAAAACCAAGTCTCATAATTCATTGTATTCAAGAAGATTTTAAAAAACGAGATTGCAAATTGAAAATTGGATGGATGGTTATTGGTTACTATACGGATTTAAATTTTATTCTTACGGATTTTGATGTTCAATTAAATATCATTAAAAAAAATTTTAATGTAACATCGAACACACAACCTATGCAAAATAGAGCATTATTAGATTTAGAATATAACTCATTTATCAGAAAGTCTCCTTGTATTGGTATTCCTGTGCTAAAAAAGTTGGATTCTACAAATAATTCTCTCGTAATCGGACATCATTTTTTCAACGTTCAGGAAGAAAGTAAAATTGGATCATACACATATTCTTGTTGTTTGCAGAAAAAAATATATGTTGATTTACCTGAATTTACTTTTAATATACTCGTCATTTCCAATTATCCTGATACTGAAGCTTATGGCATATCCCCTTTTGAACGACAAAAGATATTGAGCAAGGCAAGAGAAATATTTAATAATCGGATTATTAGATCTAATTCTTCAACAAAATTAAAACCAAAATATGTCAGTTTGTATATTACGGGAGAAAATAATTATTGTCCAATTTTTTTAAAACAAAAAGCTAATAAAGTTAAGTATAAGCCGATTAAATACACCATCTGTAATAATGTTTCTTGTATTTGTAAAAATGAATCAGTAAAAGAAAATCTGAAATATTCATACTTTGATCCAAAACCAGGTAATTCTTTTTATTCAATTAATATAATCAACGATATTATATTAATTAATGGTTTATTGATTTTAGATAAGGTTGATATCATTTTTTAATTGCGACGACACATGCATTTTCTTTATACATAATTCTTAAATTTTTTAAATTATTTTATCCACATACAAATATTTTAGATCTTGTAAATTCAATTATATTTATTATTTATACGTTTATTCTAAATTTATTCAATCAAAAAGCTATTTATTATTATTTAAATAAATAAATCTTTGTTTTATTTTCGAGAAGTATTTAATATGATTGCACAGATCGTAGTTTTTATCACATATTTTTTGTCACGCGGATAATTTCTTCGAGGTGGTAAATTTTTTGAATAACTGAAAGTGTTTCAGAATATTACTTTGTCCATTACCATAAAGAGCTTGATTGTCTATATTTGGTAAAGTGGCTGCTTACAACTGTTGAGTTTTTCGTACATATGGCGCAGCAACTTCAATGGCGTTAACCCAAAATCATTGAATTGTTTTGATGATCTGCTTTTAAATGAATCAATTTATTAAGTAATTCATTTACATTACACATACATTTTATTTACGATTTAATATGGGAAGACAATGATACCAATTAATATAAATAGAATAATTCAATCATTAAATTGGAGTTTTTCAAAATTTTCTTCATTGTTTCATAATAATTCATCATGTCCCTAGACGATTTTAGGAGAAGTGTTCTCATGAATTTGGGTGGTGAGGAACGCGTAGAAGTCAATCAACGACTTTTGATTGACAAGATTTTAGCACGGTAAAGTTCTTACAGTAGTATCGCAGATCCCCCCAAATCTCGCACGGGCGTTTCTTTACCTCAATTATTTTACTTTTAGATATTCTTCTGAATTTGTGGTATACCGGGAATTAATGCAGAATTCAGGTAAATGCTTTAATTTTTTTTTATTATTTTCACCTCATTTACAATATTTATCGTTTTTTTAATAAAGATGATGCGAAGGCATCGAGTGTAAACATTATGTTTGAGACCGAAAATCCGATCACCGGTAACAATGTAACGGGGAATAAAATCACTCGAATTCTATTCAAGAACGATGGTTTCGTCTTTAGACCCCAAGATTGGGATCGATTAAAGAGAATTGCCGAAGGAAATCCCGATGAGCAAAAAGTATGATTTATTTTTTTTTTTTTTTTTTTTTTTTTAAAAAAAAATATTCCACTTTTTTATTTAATTTTGATTAATTTCCCTTCTATGATGTTCATAGATAGGAGCTTTCGGTGTTGGTTTCTACTCGTTGTTTTCCGTTTGCGAAAACCCATTGTGAGTTATTTATTATTTATAAAGCGTTATTCGATTTTTTTTTTTTTTTTATTAAACGCTGTGCACATTTATTTAAATTTGAAAAAAAAAAGTGTTTCTTCAGGTGGACAAGGGATGGCTTTTTACTGGCGTGGAGATCATTTATTTGCAGGTCAGGGACCAACTGGCGATGAAGACCAGGTTTGGACAACATTTTTAATGGACATGAGAGAACCCGCAGAGGTAAAATTTAAAAAAAAAATAAAATAAAATAAAATAAATTGTGTCGCTGTATTTAACCAGCATTTAACCCTATCTTTTCTTCATCAACTAGTTTCCAAACATTGAAAAATTCACACGATTCTTGGTTAATTCACTGGTAAATCTACAATATCATTATTTATTTATTATTTATTGTTATGTAATAATAATATAAATAAAAAATAAATAATAGGGATTTACGGGAAATCTCCGAAAAGTATTCGTGTATTTTAATCAGCAATTGGTGATAGAACTGTCAAAGCGTACTCTCAACCCGAGATTTATGAACAGTTCGGGGTTTGACACCATTTCTCCACAAAAACTGTTTCATATTACTTCAGTGGATATTAGTGATGTCATGATAGACGTTAAGAGACTAGTTGTCCCAAATCAAACTATTGATTTTCAGACAGTCATTGATTGTGAGATAATAGAAACATCCATATGCCTTACAGTTATTAGTGGAAATTTGGATGTTACACTCAGTAGAGAATTTTCTGCTGAAATGGAGCGAATGACTAAAAAGAGACCTCCCGGTAAAACAACTGTCCAAATGTTATTTGCCCGGTTTGATGATACAAATCATTCTGAAATCTTCAATGATTTGGTTCCATATCCAAAACAAGGAAATATATATATTGGTTTCCCAACTCACCAAACCACGGGATGTTGCACTCACTTGGCGGCTCGCGTAATTCCTACTGTATGTACCTGCGTTGTGCGTGAATTTGTTAATTAATAAAAACTTACTTTATTTATGGTTTTTAACGTTGGACTATTTAGGTGGAACGAGAATCAATTGACTTGGTAGACAAAACCTTGGCTGTATATAATAAAGATTTGCTATGTGTAGCAGGAATATTATGTAGAATTGTCTATGAAGACGATTTTGCTCAAATTAAACAGCTTTATGATGATTTGATCGCTAAATTTGAACCTGACGAAAAGATATTGTCTATTCGTAGATGGCTTGAAAAACGAGCAGCACATAGTTTAGATTACTTTACGTTTAAACCGAGTACGCCGAATCCTGAAGTTGGAAGAATAATAGAATCACAATTTTTTAATTGTTCGAGACGAGATTTGTCTATTTTGTCAACTAATGGTGTCCTTCCGATATCAGACGTTCGTATTCCTAAGCCAGAAATGGCCGGATTCATAAAAAACGTACCAGTGGTTCCGAAGATTTTATTGGAACAATGTGAATTATTTTTTAAGAAAGCGACTAGCCTAATAAAAGAGTTGACATTTGAAGATGTTTTATTCGAATTAAAAAGTCGATCACTTTGTGAAAATGAAATGGTTGAGCTTTTGAAATGGTGGAGTTTTTATAGGTCAAATGGAAATCATGTTGACTCTGGAGTATCTGCGCTATTCATGCAACTTGCTACCGTATATGTTAACGAACAGATTCGACCTTTAAACACTTTTGATTTTGTTTTGAACCCAGGCATAATTCCACCAGATGTTGATCTACCAGCTGAAGTTTTACCGTTTTCCATTTCTAAAACTTTACAAAGACAGGATCTTGAAAAATGGCTTGGGTGGTCAACGTTGCCCTTGATTTATTGGGCAAAGTTTATCGTCAATAATCCTAATTTGGAATTGATCCCTGCATTTGCCGAAAAGATTCATCATATTTTAGAAAAAAACTTAAAAATTGCTTCATCGAATGACAAGGAAATAATTCGCCAGTTATTTATTCAAAAGGATTGTGTACCAACCAAATTTGGAATGAAGAATCCCATCGAAGCTTATTTCCAGGATGTTAATCTATTCCCAGATTTGCCAACAATTCAATTTTCAAAATCTTCAAGTGTTCAGAATATAATGAAACTCTTGGGCGTTCGAAAAGTGAGAGAAATAAAAATAATATTTTGTTTCTTTTTACATGATTTAATAAATTAATTATCTGTAGGTCGTTGATTTACAAATCATTTTTAGTCGTTTGGGGCAAAAGGATTGTGATCATATGCAACTTGTGAAATATCTCATCTCGGAATTGGACAATCTCAAAGAAAATGACATGATGAAATTAAAGATCACCCCGATCTGGCCTAAAGAAAATTTGGTAGAATCAAAGAGTAAGGGTAAATTTAGAAAAGCGAAGCTAACGTCAGAAATTCGACGTTACGTTGCATATGAACTGTATGCGCCCGTAGCACTGCATCGCGAATTTGATTTACCTATACTTGATTGGAGGAAAAGGTGGGCCCGTAGTACACCAGAAGGTACTTTTTGTCTCACCTATAATTAAAAGATAATAAGAATAATAAGAATAATATGTGTGTGCATATATATATATATTTTTTATTAGGAAAACTCTTAATCGACCTGGGTCTTCGAGAATATCCCACACTTCAAAAAATCATAGAATTGGCAGCACCTCCTACTGATCCTAATATTCGTGAAAAGGCACTTAAATACTTTATTGATAATTTTAAAGAAAAATATTCCAAAGAATATAAACCATCCGACGTCAAAGTTGCCTTTTTGCCTTGTTCGTCACCAAATATTTATGCGAAGCCTACAGAGTGTTTTATAAACAGTGAATGCACGATAATGAAATTCAAAGTTATACGCCAAGATTTACGGTTTAATGTGGGACAATTTGGCGTTTGTCAAAATCCTAGTGGTGAACTACTCAAAGTAAGGTTAATTGAGGATACACCGCAAGATGAAGAAACGGCAAAGAGCGTTTTTGAATATTTGCAATCACAACAGGGAAGTTTTACCACCCATAATTGGTTGGTTCTTGGTGATCTCAATTTTATTCCTATTCGAGATAGTAGTCGACCCGACGTAATTATTAAAACGAATCCACGTAGTTGTTTCTTTGATAACCAAGAAAAAAGGTAGCGTTATTTTAAAAATTAGCAGTTAAAGTTTTTTTTTTTTCTCTCTTTCTTATCGGTAATAGTTTGAGTAACTTTAAAAGTTTTCTTTAGTTTGAATGATTTCTTTACAAAAATTGATTTTGGGCAAAAAGCCAATAAATTCCTACAGAGTTGCGGTGTCAAAATCCTACCACATGCAATAGACTATGCCGAATTGTTAGTTAAATCATCACAAGTAATTTGGGGTTTAATGGAAGACAATGTAGAGAAATATTTAAATATTTTGAAAAGAATTGCTTTTGATTATAATTACTTACCCAGATATACAGGATTATTGAGAAAGATGTCGACAGAACCCATTCTAGTTGCTATAACAAATGGACAAGCTGAAGGCAGAAAGGTTCATTGTCGCTTGGCTTCAGCGAATGAAATTTATATAAATGATGATACAATATATCAGCAAGTTTTTAATCCGTTTACGGCTCCAGAAGATTGTAACTTGAAAAATCTTTATATAGTGCGTTACTATCATTTATTTGTTTCCTTATTCTTGTAAAATAATGATTTATTTACTTAATTATTTTCGATTTTAGAAGTTGGGATGTAAATCATTACGCAATTCCGTGACAGAAGTTACGAACCCAGGATATTATGGTCTAGAAACCGAGAATTCTCGAAAGTTAAAGGAAACAATCATGGAAAGAGCTAGTTTATTCTATCATGATTATTCGGAGAGTGAGATTAAAAGAGATGCGGAATGGCTTAAACAACTAAAAATTAAGGAGGTCGAGCGAATAGAAGCAAATTATACATTAAAAACCACTCTTGAGACAAAAAGCAAGTCTATTTCTACTTGTCTGAAAGAGGAATGGACTAATTCATGGGTGCTTTTTGTGACACCCAACACAAAATCCCTTGATATCTCACAGCATTTAGTTAGAAGTATCTACGTTTCACATAAATGGAAGGATATCTTTAATCTCAATACACTTTTAATTACACCTTTGTCAAGCTTGGAAAGCATGGGATATCCGATTGATTGCATACCCAACTTAAAGCGTAGCGTCGAGAAGTATAATCAAAAGGTGATTATTTTAAAATCAGAATTTCTACATAATAAGTCACTCATATTCTGTCTTTACATTTCGCTTAGGGAAGGAGTACTGGCACAGTGACCGAAATAACACCTGCAATCACTCAAAACCTACGAAATTCTTTACAAGATGTCATAAATGCTTGCCGCGCTCATTCAGGAAGTTCGCTTCACAATCAAGCTAGTGTCAAAATTGTCGACGAAAGTCAACCGAGTTACTGTGACATTATACCTGGTATGTAAAATATAATAAGCATAAATAAATCGTACTTTATGAACTACTTTACTTACCTCAATGTTTGTCGTAGGTCATTCATTATATTTTGTTGGAACTTTACAAGGGATTAAGATTTACAATTCTATAATTACTGCTCAATCTATAAATCTCTTTCAAACACACGCTGTTTCATTGAACCGTTTTGTGAATTTATTGCGATATCTTGTAGAGGTTTTTCAGCTTGCACCAGAAGTTGTTCATATATTCTATGATAATAATTCAAATTCGGTTGCATTTAATCGGGACAGATCATTATTTTTCAATTTAAACTATTACATTGGATTACATGGTGACGAATGTCAATATGTATTTACAAATAATGCCATGAATTATTGGTTTATGACAGTTTGTCATGAATTAGCGCATAATATCGTACTTAATCATGATTCTAAGCATGAAGTAAGTATATTTTGTTAGGTTGACTTTTTTTTTTTTTGTGACAACGTATAATCTAATACGGATTTTTTCCCAAAATAGTATTACTTGTCATCATTCGCAACAATTTACATGCCAACTTTAATAAGCATATGTGATAAGTACGGGATTCTTGTATTATAATGTTTTTGTAAAACATCCGAGAAACAATTTAGATAATTTATAGTGTAAAAACGTTTGTCGAATTAACATTTTGACAAGTTATTTATCTCTGTGAATTGTAATATACCAGTATTCTGAAAACATAAAATAATGATAGAAATTAGAATCACTATTTAAATAACAAAAAACAATAAATTTTTTTTTTTTTTCAGGAAAAAAGTTATCTTGCAGACTCGTGATACTCAATAATTTCTTTCATAAACTCGGGCCAAATATTAATAATATACATTGAAGTTAAAATTTAACACAGATATTTTCGAAATATAAATGATCTAAATTTAACGCGTGCCATATGATGCGTGACCTTGATGTCAAAAAAAGAATCGATGTTAATAAAAATAGATTATTTACGTATTAGAAGTGAATTTGAACAGTTTTCAAGCTAGCTACGTCCACAAACTTGTTTTGATCCTCAGCGTTTCGGAATCCTGTAGATTGAAGACATTTATTGCTTCAAAGCTTTTATTTCTTGTCATCGTTAAGGCGACTGTTCAAGAGGTTGTTTCTACCAGATATATGATTTTGACGCGTAATCTTTAAATGATGGTAATATGCAAAAGTAACGCAAATTTCCTTCCCTTCCAATGTTTGCAAAAAAAAAAAAGTATAGAATATTAAAAACAAATGAGTTTTCGCCACTCATAAACTTTTTTTAACAAATATATTTTAATATATTTGTTTATTCTATTATAAAAATTATTTATGGCCCTTTCTGAAAAAAAAAGGTCTTCTATATTCGACACGTTGCGAAGGATTGATTGTATATTATTATTTTTTTTTAAAAAAAAAAAAATGATCATTTCTGACAGACCTGGACAACAGCCAAGTCAACTTGCGCGACTTATACAATGAATGATAAGGTTTTATAAAGATCAATTAATAAAAACTTGGGATATTATTGGTTAGCATCATATAAAAATTTTAAGCTTTTAAATCAATGCTTGATACATTGAAAAGATCATAAAGAGACGAAAAAATCACCTTCATTCCTTCTTCTACTCCTCCTTCTCAATAACCTTCTTTTAACCAAATCGTGGTATAGGAGGGTAATGAATCTTTAAAATGTTATCTTGGATTTGTTAATTAAATTATAATAGACTTTCTGGTTAAATAGAATGATTTCAAATAAAGGAACCTTTAACTATTCTTGTTCCTCATAAAAAGTCTCCTTCACCTTTAAAAAAAATATATATTGTGTGATAAAAATTGTAATTTACAAAATAAAATAACTTACCTTTATTTGATAGACTTTATGCGCAGAGTTAAGTAAATAAACGTAACGATTCCTCCAGTTGCTTTTACTGCTAAAAACTAAATAAAATTGTGATGGATTTTCTTTGCGTAGTTTCGTATCGAACTCTTGTGTATCTTGAAGGGTTTCTCTGGTCAGATATTTCACCTTTTTTTAAAAAAAAATAAGATATAATGTAATTAAACAAAATGTAGGTTATTTTAAATCAAATTGACAAGTCGAAAATAATAGATCACATGACTTTAAATATACACCAATAAATTCAAACCACATGACTAGATGCACAAACTCGTGATTTATAATCGATCCCATAATCCGACAAAATTCTCATTTTTCTATAAATTTAATACAATTTCAATAGAAGATCGGTACTTTATTTTTTTTTCATTTTTTTTTTGCGATTTAATACTGTCTATGCTTATTATTGCGCACATGTTGATTGTGTAGTTTCATAAAGTCATGGGTGCACACTTGGCTTATGAATCCAAAATAAGTGATGGTTTAAATTCGCTATCTAATAATTGTTGGAATGGAATAATTCCTATCAATTGTTAGCCTTTCTGATAATTGTTGGAATGGAATATGTCCTATCAATTGTTGGAGCCTAATTTTTTTAATTAATAGCGGGTTGGGTGTGAAATATTAGTGGGAAGTAAAAAACATAAAACATTTGTCGAAACTAATTCTACCGGGCGATACCGCGGGGTTCAGAAAAAATGTAAAATGTTAATAGATATGATTTTAGATAATTGGTTATCTGGTTTATTTATTATATTATTCATTTTTTATTATTATTTTTTTAGTACCACGATTTTTATTTTTATTTTTTTATTAAATTCATGTATAATGTACTTTATATTTTAAACGTAATATTATTAGGTTAAACACTTCTTCTGATCTTATCAAACAAGCATTATACCGATTCAAAATAAGTGTGGATAACTGAATTAATAATCTTCTCAACTTTTCATGATTAAATCGCAACTTGGATATTATTCAATTAATGCCTCACGTTCATCCCTTGAGGTATTCATTCATTAACATCATCATTATCAATTATAAGAAGGAGTCCAACCCGTAAGTTTCTCCAATTATCTCTACTTATATAGCATCAGAAGACCTATGATACATGATGAAATAAATAGTGTCACTTTGTATTTGAATGAAAAGCAAAGAGGAAACTCGATCTCTGAGTAATAGAAATTACGTGTGCGTTTACGCAATCGATTTACTTGCGTGTAAATGAGCGGTTTTGAGAACTTCTCTGTCTGTGCCAAAACATCTTGAAAAGTTGTACAAAGACATTCGATAGAAGAAGGAATACCTAAAAAAAACTATATCTGTGATAGGACTGCTACCATTAATGATAATTATACATTAGAAAGAGCCATGGAAAATTTGAAATTCTTTATGATTAAAGGAATATTAGAAAGATTTTAATTAATTATTTCATAAAAATAAATTCTGTTAAAAAAATTTATTGAAAGTTGAAATATATAAAGATAGTGTTTAGAAAATCCAAGTACAGTATATTCACTACATTCGTCGAGAAAGTACGAAAGATATTTTTGTACGTGTCTTTCCATTATAAAGATCAGCGTTCAGCTCGTTCAGCTGTTACGCATAGCATATACTTGATTTTTCACGTCCCCATGTCACATCCAGGGACGATGATTTCAGAACACCGCAGAATTTTCCTTAAATGCATCTAACTACAACATTTGTCAAATTATAATAGAAATCACAAAATCACGTGAAGTTCATAAGAAATTTATTATTTTTATTTGCAATTTTCATTTTAATGTATTTGATTATGCGAGTATATTCCTCTCCTCTTATTTTCTTTAGAACAAGCTATATTAAAGACAAAGGATAACTACTATCAAAGTGTTTCATATTCTATAGTTGAGCTAAATGGGGATTATCGATCTGTTAAGTTATGCGTAGGTGAAGCAGTTGAAACAACTTTGTCCATTGATGGACAATCTGCGTTTGGAATTATCAAAGGGATAATTGAACATATATGGAACGATCAAGTTTATGTATTAATTTATTTGGACTGGTTGGAAGATCTTGAAAAATGTGATAGTTTATTGGGCTGTCCTATATATCGTCTCCAACAAATATCCAATAATTCCTGGGATCGAATCCATCCAATTTCTATTGTGTCTAAGTCACCAAAGTTCCATTCATCAATTATTGTAAGACGGGGTGCCTTCACAACAACAAGTCTTTACAAACCACGAAATGATTTCTTCTAAACGGCAATTTAAAAGAATTATTTAAGTTTGAAAGGTATGTTATTATTACATTAGAATAATTGTTATTGGTTTAATATTATTAATTTTTTTTATTTAGTTTAGTTAACTTTTGTTACCCTTTCCTATTTATTAATTAAAATTGCCTTATTAATCTGTTTTAGAATTCTTTTTGTTTATCGCAAAGAATCCCAAAAATTGGACGTGTTGGTCGAATAGTTATTTAGCATTTAAGATTTTTTCACAAATATCGGATATGCTGATTATGTAGTGAGATGCTTCAAATTAGGTTTATACTTGAATTTTTAAATTTTATTCTTTCTTTTTTTTTCAATTTTAATTAAACTTTTTATATTGTTTTGAATAGTTTCGGAATTTTACTGTAACGGAAAAATCAAGAATTCAAAACGAAATGATGATTTAATGTATGCGGCATACTAAAATTATTTCGCAAACATATGCAATAATATCTCGCAAAAGGCTAAAATTGCGCTTTTTAATTAATAATTTTTTTAAATATTATTTCGTTAAAAATATTTATAAAGTTAAAAATTAGCTAAAATAACCCAATTTCGTTAAAAAAAAAAAAAAAAATAGTGAGAGAGAGAGATCGTTATCAGCGATAATAAGTGGCTTAAATTTTGCTAAAAATTTAGGTTAATTTTACCTAACCTGATTTTCATAAAATTAGTAAAGAAGGTTTCTTTTGTATCATACCATACATTAAACAAACCAGCACTAAAAAATATTTTAGTGAAATAGATTGTTGACGAAACGTATACAATAGAGGAAGTTGAAGTTGTAAATATAACAATTGAAAAGAAATAAAGAAAAAGCTCATATACTGTATATTTGTTTGATATTGGGTAGTGATTTTAGCATGGATACTTTGACATGTTTTAAATGTATTGTTTCTGAAAAAAAATTTTTATTAGATAACGGTAAGTTAAAAAAGAACAAACAATCTTTCATATTACAATCGGGAGTGAATCATAAAGTTTAAAATTGCCGCAATTGATTTCCCATGTGTTACCTCATCAATGAATTTATTTTTAGATTTTATTATATAAGTCAACATTTTAACGGAACTTCCTATTTTTTTTTTTTTTTTTTTTTTTTTTTTTTACAAAAAAGCAAAACGAAACAAGGCAATGCACTCTTTTTTTCACCTCTCACAAAAAGTTATGCTAAATTACAAAATAACTTTTGCTGAAATTTTTGAATACGATCTTGACAAGGTGTTTAGTAGTGGTTTTCCATCATCATTCAATAAAATAATACTTTTGATTTTAATTAGCATTCCGGCGGCACCAAAGCTTCTAATTTGATTATGTATTCTGAAATCAACGATATTTATTTCAAACTTGTAAATCATTTTTAAATGAAAGTTTTTGCGATTAAGATCACAAGAAAAAAAATAAAATGAATTTTATTTGATGCTTGTGTTTTCCAAAATTTAAATGTTTTGATTTATATTAAAAATTATTATCATTTTATTTTTTTTCGTTAGTATGATAATTTCTTTTTATTCACATTTTTATCAATCAGAATTTAAATATGGGAAGAACCGGATAGTCGTATCGATAGATAACGTTCAGACTTGTGGCACAAAGACAAAATAGTTCTGTAAAAAAAAATATATATTTCGATAAAATATTTTATCATATCCAGAGTATTGAATTCAAAGACTATTTCATGTTAATTCTCGATCCAGAAAAAGCGATAAAAAAATTTTTATTAGCTTATCATTCAATTTACATAAAAATTCTAGAGAATTAAAATTTCGATATAAGAAAATGGAGTAACTGAATTTTCCAAATGAGCCTTTGTATATTTTTACGTGATACAAGAATTTTTACGGAAGGCTTGTGTAAAATTTTTTACTTTCACAATGTAAAGATATTGAATACTATTCTGAAGTTGAAGATAAATTTGTATTTTATTAACTTAAATTAAAAATAGTAACGATTTGTAAGTTATAATTTTTTCAGAAAAATATAATTTGATTGCAATAAATTCCGGTTAGTCCAAAAAATCATCGTGAAAAAACTGTCGTCCTCGCTCAAAAATAAATTATTATTATTATTATATATTTTTTTTTAACCCTTTTTAGGAACAAAAAAAAAATTCCGTTCCTAAAAAAGAAACAAAAGTTGAAAAAAAGGAATCTTCACAAATAGAAAGAAAGGGAAAGAACTTGCTCCTTGACAACCAATAATAATTCCGATTCTCTAATATAAAATGAAGAAAAGATAGGTGACCATAAATGGTATTGTAACGAAAAATCTTGAATTCTAGAATTCTTTATTCATTCCCAAATTTGTTTTAAATACGCTAAATTCAATTGCATATAAAGAATTAATAAATTTTTTGCTGCCGACCGATTACAACTGTACGTCGAAAATAAATAGCTTTAACAGCAAAAATCAAGAAAAGCTTCAGATATTAGCAAGGTGAAGACGTTAATGACAAGAATATTTAACATTCATTATTCTCTATAAAAAGATGGTAAAATAAATTAGAATCACGTGATTTAATTATCAATGTAATAAACAAATTTTTATATCGAACTAATGATCAATCAAACATGAATCGTTACCGTTACCGTTACTACATTAGAATGAATTCTTGCAGTGTGTGCTTTATATTGAGGAGTATGAAATAAAAATAATAATACCGAAAAAAAAATGTTACCGAAGATCCATTGCAGGAATGGGTTAGATCCTTTTTTTTGAATAGAGTATTTATGGAAATTCATTAAGCCATTTTACAATATGGGAAAAATTTAAACCGAGGGCTGAACTGTCCTTGCATAAAAGAGAATATAACAATTGTAAAAATTCATATTCATAATGGTTATAAGAAGAAATTTATAAAAAGTATGTACAGACTTGGAAACTAGAATTAAGGAATTAGAACAAAGTAACGAAGGGTTACGTTTAAAATTTAAAAATTTAGAGGAAAAATTTAAAAAGCGAGAAGAAGAAATCAAAACCAAGCAAGAAACCATTAAAAATCTAGAAGAAAAGGCTATAGAACGAGAAGAAATAAACAAAGACAACCAAGAAATTATTAACGAATTAGAAAAAAGGATCAGAAACCTTGAATCATTTATCTATGATGACGTTGTTAGTTTAACCATTAAAGATACAAATAAGGATGACATATTAAACGCTTTAGGAGGATTGCAACGATATCGAAAACTAAAAATACTCGATTGTAGTAATACTCAAATAAATAGCTTACCAACTTTACCAAACTCCTTAACGGAACTCTATTGCTATGAAACTAAAATAAAGATTTACCAACTTTACCCGACTCCTTAAAGATACTCTATTGTAATAATACTCAAATAAATAGCTTACCAACTTTACCCGGCTCCTTAACAAAACTCGATTGTAGAAATACTCAAATAAATAGATTACCAACTTTACCAAACTCCTTAAAATTACTCTATCGCTATGAAAATCAAATAAATAGCTTACCAACTTTACCCGACTCCTTAACAATACTCAGATGTAGTAATACACAAATAACCAGCTTACCAACATTACCCAACTCCTTAAAAATACTCAGTTGTAGTAATACTCAAATAAATAGCTTACCAACATTACCCGACTCTTTAACAATACTCAGTTGTAGTAATACTCAAATAAATAGCTTACCAACATTACCCGACTCCTTAACAACACTCAATTGTAATAATACTCAAATTAATAGCTTACCAACTTTACCCATCTCCTTAAAGGAACTCAATTGTGGTAATACTCAAATAAATATCCTACCAACATTACCCGACTCCTTAACACAACTAATATGTCATAAAACTCAAATAAATAGCTTACCAAATTTTCCCAATTCCTTAATGAGTATCTGCCCTCGATCTTTAAGAACTAAACATATCAATAACAATCATAATCTTTAACCTTTGAAGCCATGATCTGTGACTGCGCCTTAATTTGATTAACAAAGTTGACGAAGTGGATGAATTAGACCAAGTTGCTAAAGTGGTCATTGTTGATCTATTTAATATATTAGATAGATTAGTTATAATTATCATAATCGTTATACTTATTAATTATATGATAGTAGAGTATTTATATTTATCTTATTTATTTATTTTAACTTTATATTATATATATTCATTATATTATATTTTATAGTATTTTATTTTGTATAAATATCTTATATTTTCCCTTGAGTTGAAAAGTAACTCAAGATCGGGTTTTAGAATAAACCAAGAGCTCAATAAAGGAATCTTTAAATTTATTTACTATTGCTTTTTGTCGTGTCTTCATATAGTCGTGATTGTGATATTGTTTTGTATTTAATTTGACAGATTGAATTAAAAGTTAATCAAATAAGTTTACAGATACTAAGCCAATACTTTCTATATATGTTCATAATTTCTTTATGAAATATCCGCATAATAAACTTTATTAGATTTAGAACTTAAAAATTAATTTTGTTTATTTTTATTTTTAATAAGCGAAATATTTATGGAAATTTTGTCATGATATTATTTGTAATATTATTTTACTTTAAGAATTTTAAGAATAAATATTTTATTAAAAAATTAAAATCAAATCACCGTATACAGTTTCAAATACAAAAATAAAGATAGATTATTAATCAACTAACAAATTTTAAGGATTTCTGCTTGCAATAAAATGGAGAACCTCTTTAATTTGTATTTATTTATATTTTATTCAAGATATTTTTATATATTTTATACAATAAATATTATTTATTATATGTAAAATAACTTAATACTTTTTAACTTGCTTTTAATGTTCATGTATATTAAAACCAATTTATTTCAGAGAAGCTTGTAAAAGGAAATGCTTTATAATATCATTGATCTTTTAGTTATTTATTTTCAACTATTACAAATTCATTAAAGTTAATCTAGCCAATTATAATTAACTGTTAAAATCAAAACTTTAATATAGCTGTAAATTATATTGTTAATACTCTAAATATAATAGATATAATGAATAATA